TCTCTCTCTCTCTCTCTCTCTCTTGCTTTTTTTGTAACGAGTAACTAAACCGAACATTGAAAATGTGTCGGAGTAAAAGTATGCAATTAAGTTCGGAAATATAGTGAAGGGAAAATTAAATTTATCAAAAAATGTTACACTCTAGGAAAGTATAAAGAACTCCAAAATATACACATGTACAGTAGTGAAGTAGTTTTACTTCGTTACTATACAACAGTTATAGTAGAGTTGTTCCCAAGCCACTCCTTATTTTAGATGTGTGATTAGGGTAATTGTTGTTAAGGTTGTATCCTTAATTCCTCCCGGTCCTTATGGAAACTTGGAAAATGAACTGAAGAGATCTTTAGCAATGAATGAAATTTATTCCGGCCACAAGTAAGATATCACAGCGCTGGACTCTCTGGGTAATGTTGTCTCAAAGACGCGATTCCACCAAAGAGCACCGAAAACACGTCACTCAGGTACATTTATCTTCTTGGGCTAAGCTCCGCCCCATACAATGCAAACTGGTCTTCGCAGCACCGAATTATAATTGGCCATTTAACTCTAACGTGAACATGCCAGCTTCCTGTTCACGTGATCGTATAGTGTAGTAACAAAGTGTTGTGAATGTTGTTTGTTGGCGTGCAGCTAAAAACACAGGGTAAACATGAACTTTAACAGGATCTAAAAATTAATTCTTTCATTGTCTTGTTGGAAGGAGAACTTTTGGCCCAGTCTGGGCCGAGGTCCTGAGCATTCTGGAAGAGGTTTTCTTTCAGGATATCTCTGTACTTGGCCGCATTCATCTTTCCTTCAATTGCAACCAGTCGTCCTGTCCCTGTAGCTGAAAAACACCCCCACAGCATGATGCTGCCACCACCATGTTTCACTGTTGGGATTGTATTGGGCAGGTGATGAGCAGTGCCTGGTTTTATCCACACATACCGTTTAGAATCAACGCCACAAAGTTCAATCTTGGTCTCATCAGACCAGAGAACCTTCTTTCTTATGGTTTCATAGCTAAAAAGTACATTTACAATAAACTATTCACCTATAGACCCATAAGGCAGATACTAATCATTATGATTTATTTCATTCAAATCAAAGAGTAGAGAAAAAAAAATAAAACTAATATAAATAACATGTGAAAATAGGATGTAGATAAGATTCATTAGATAGAATCTCTTAAGAACCACTGGGTGTGCTTTATTTTATAGGACTCTGATCATAGATCTTACCAATGGAGAAAAAAAACAGCAGGTCTTTCTTTTGATTTCTTTACAAATCTTAATATTTTTTTAAAATATGTTAATATATTTTTTGAAAAACAGTTCTAAACTCGCTAAACGTATCCCAGACGTAAAGGCAGCCTTAGACGTGGAAAAGCACACCTAAACTTGAATTACTTGTGCCAACAACAGGCAAGGCAAGGCATATTTACTTGCATAGCACATTTCATGTACAAGAAAATTCAAAGTGGTTTACAAAGAGTTTAAAAGCGGAAAATAGAGATGAATGAAATAACAAATATATTGAACAAAATAAAACAATCATTGATTAAATAGATCAAAGTGTAAAGTGCAGATATAATACATTTATATCTGATCCTTGTTAAAGTCAACTGAAGCAGCTGCTTTAGTATTAGATTCAAGAAAAGCAAGCTATGCAACACGTATTGAAAGTCTGGAGCAAGCCATCAACCCCTTAAACTTAAAAAAAAAGAAAAAGTTAATTCCTAATACAGAAACCAACACTGACGTTTGGTAAGTATATAGTTGTCGCTATGTTCTACATTGCCATATAATTCTTATGTCACATTATTTTTAACAGGTCCAATGGCAAGCAATCCATAAAATATTAAATGAAAGTCAAACAGAATGCAACTGGGTCTCCTGATAAATGACCACATAAAATGTCCATGTGAGTTATAAGTAAATAAAATGATCTGACAACATATTTGATTATTATTAATTTGTCCGTTGAATAAATAAGAATTGTGATTACAAATTGCTAATCCTAACATCCAGATTTCACTTCTAAATAACAAAGATTATACTGAGAAAAGAATGAAAAGACAGCATGCCATTCTACAGATAATTTTTATTGCATAGAATAAAAACAAGCACAGAAGTTTGGTGAATTTTAACTGAAAACACTTGATCTCAACAAGCGGAAGCACAGTGTATTAAGCAAAAATAGAAAAAGATCTTTTGCCATGAAGCTCATCTGATTTTTCATTAGTCTTTGCTAATGCTTTTGTCTTTATCCATGTTTCAGTAGATGTACCCACTACAATTCATATTCCCAACTTGAAGGCTCATTAAGCGTTTGTTTCTGAGCTCGGAAGGGCTTACACACTTCAGGGCATCTTGGGGTGACAAGGTGGCCTTGTTCTCTTCAATCCACTTTACCAGGGACATAATATCGCAGTCACAATGCCATGGGTTATCCTGAAGGTATAGCTTTTTAAGTTCTAAAAAGCAAAGAGATCATCATTGAACACAAATCCTACCTGCATTTTCTAATAATCCCATTTAACCCTTTTGCGTTAAAAATGAATGGGTGTTCGTTTACCTGGCAAATGTCTGAAGACGTTACCGGTTACGGCCTTCAGGTCATTCCCGCTGAGTGCCAGCTGAGAAAGTTTGAGCGTGTTGCTGAAAACTTCAGATGGGATGTGCAGCAGCTTGTTGTTCCTCAGGTAGAGTTCCTGAGTCAATATTCAAGAAACCACAGCGTTTGCACAGTGGAACACACAATAGAATTCATTCTAGAAGAGCAAGATAAATAGGCTTGTTGAAAAAAGTAATCTTATCAGACCATATATGAGCTTTTGTAAACCATAATGAAAAGTATCTTGATCATTTGTGTTAATTTCCTTGGTTATAAGTGAGTTACAAATATATATATATATATATATATATAACCTGTAAGTTCCTCAGTCCATCCAAAGCCGATTGACTCATTGAGGACAGAAAGTTATTGTCGAGAACCAGCATCTCCAGAGATCGTAGTGGCCGGAATGCTCCAGAAGGAACAGTTTTCAAACTGGATAAGGAGAAAAAGTAAAGGCACACAAGTAAATGCTAATTATAATAGCATTTGACAATAATGATGTGTGGTAAAAACAGAAGTGTTTTTATTAGATACTCAATTCCTATCCTGAGCATAATGAATCTAAGTAAGGTCCAATTCACCTGCAGTTTAATCATTCCTACCCACAGAAATATCCTTGCGGAACAACTTTTCCACCTAATTATCAGTATGCAACAACATTATTTTGACGATTAAAGTTTTTCACTGAGTTTAAATAGTAGTTTTCTACACTTTAGGTAAATGAAAATGCAGTACTGATATCCTACAGCTGAGTCATTTCTGAAGCGAATGTTGTAAATATGTATTAGATATTACATACAATTTGTCTCTCTCCTAAATTGAGCAAACAGTAACTAATTTACATTTTTCTGTTGTTTTGCTCGTCCTTTTTTAGTGCTTGCGCCCTTTTATCTGAACTAATTAGTAAGAAAAGGGGGCAGAGAGTCACTGAAACTTGAAGCATCAAGGAATTCGAGATTCGAGATTTTGGTAAATGAAGTTGAACCGCACATGACTATTGCATTAATTTTTAAAGTTTAATAATTTCTACTCTTAAGTCGTCTGTAGATGTTAAATCACACATGAATCATGGCACTAAATTAGGTTACATGAGCTGGTGTCTTTAAATCTCACATTATCTGCCCCAGTCGATCTTTTGTCATTTGTTGTCTTGAAATGTATTCCGATAATCAAAATTATATGTTTGGACATTCTCACCTCAGAGCATATCTCTGGCTATACTCAGTCAATGTGTTGAGTGGAAGTATGCTTTTCACTAAAGACATCTGAAAAAAAGTCAATCTGTGCATGTAATTGCCTTGGTGTAGACTAGAGGAAGTTAATTCATTCTAGAAGCTGCAAAAAATAAAGAAAACGGATCTGACATACGAACATGCAGAGTGAAAGTATAGAAATGACCAAAAGGTAAAAATGTCACAGGGCTGTAACAAAACCCTCAATTTAAATTCTTCAGAGAAGGGAATAGTTCATGTTCTTCTGATTCAAATGCTTGATTAAATGCTTAATTGTTCAATAATATTACCAGTGGGTATGAAACATTAAAATATCCAAAGTCTCAAATGCACACATTTCTACTGATATTGCACAGATGCTTTGTCCCAACTTTTGAATGTGGGAAAAAAAAAACAGCTTAAGTGATAATAACCTGTTATTGTCTAAGTTGAGGAACAGGAGCTGACTGAGTCCAGTAAAGGCCCTTGGAGAGATTGCATGGATGCGATTCATGGACAGGTCCAGAACCTTGAGGGCAATCAAGGGTTTGAAGGCGTTAACTGGGAGAATGGTCAACGCATTTAGAGGGAG